CTCATTCACACACACACACACACACACACACACACTCACTCACTCACTCAATCAGTTTGAATTCAGTGAGCGTGTTGTTTCTGCTGTTCTTCTGTGAGTGTGTCTGATTAAGGTGTGACGTGTGTCTCTGCAGATGTGTGAAGATCTGTTCAAGCGCACCAGTGAGAACACCGATCCTGATCTGTCCTACTCTGTCGAGGTGCTGCTACACACTCCTCACATCACTCATACACACACATGACTGGCTTTGATCACTGAAGCCGATATCATAGTGAGCGGGACGACTGGCGGCAGATCTATATGATATCATTTAAAGATCGTAAACACATTCTGAGATTAAATGTGTATTTATTTTACATACAGTTTATTCAATGAAAAATATTTTGAAACTGAATCAGTGTGAAAAAATATTTTGAACTTGATTAAAAAATAGTAAAACTTCTGTTATCCTATGCTAATGTTTGTCACATTTAAAGAAATAGTTGAAAACATGACTAGAAGGAAGTAAACAGTGTAACCATTGGTGCACTCGGTAAGTCTGGAATCATATTTCATCAAGCAAACACAGACATTTCATGGTGAATCCTTAAATTAAATATGATTTAAACACTAGGATATAACACACTGTCATATTAGGTTATAAAATTATATTATATGTATATAAATATATCAGTATTATTGTATGTATATGTACACACACACACACATATATATATTTTTCATTGTAATGAATATATTATTATTAATATATTAAAATAAACTTAAAATTAAAATGCTAAAAAAACATAAAAACAATGTTTTTAACTGTTTGAAACTTCTGATGTCACAAAGTTAATCAAGTCCAATTTATTTATATACTGTAGCACTTTTCACACACATACATTGTTTCAAAGCAGCTTTTACAGAAAATCATGATGTTAATGTTTATAATATCTAATATCTTCATGCCTTATAGTTGCATTTAGCAGATTAGAGCCGGGTGATAATATAGTTTTTTTTAAATATATATTATATTTTAATATATCAATGCTCCCGGTTTCTGACTATAAAAAAAATTGAAACTTAAAATTAAAATGCTAAAAAAACATAAAAACAATGTTTTTAACTGTTTGAAACTTCTGATGTCACAAAGTTAATCAAGTCCAATTTATTTATATACTGTAGCACTTTTCACACACATACATTGTTTCAAAGCAGCTTTTACAGAAAATCATGATGTTAATGTTTATAATATCTAATATCTTCATGCCTTATAGTTGCATTTAGCAGATTAGAGCCGGGTGATAATATAGTTTTTTAAAAATATATATTATATTTTAATATATCAATGCTCCCGGTTTCTGACTATAAACAAAATTGAAAACAGGCAGCTTTGTCATAATTATTGAAATATTGAAAATAGTCCACATCAAGGAGCCGTCAAATTAAAAAAAGTTTGAGAAGCACAGTTGTAGATTAAGGTCATGTGTGTGTGTGAGTGGAGAAGATGAATGTGATGTGTGTGTGTGTGTGTGTGTGTGAGAGAGTGTGTGTGTGTCAGTGGAGAAGATGAATGTGATGTGTGTGTGAGAGTGTGTGTGTGTGTGTGTGTGTGCCAGTGGAGAAGATGAATGTGATGTGTGTGTGAGAGTGTGTGTGTGTGTGTGTGTGTGCCAGTGGAGAAGATGAATGTGATGTGTGTGTGTGTGTGTGTGTGAGAGAGTGTGTGTGTGTGTATGTCAGTGGAGAAGATGTGTGTGAGTGTGTGAGTGTGAGTGTGTGTGTGTGTGTGTGTGTGTGTGTCAGTGGAGAAGGTGTGTGTGAGTGTGTGTGTGTCAGTGGAGAAGAAGACTCATTCAGGAGATGCGTGATAGCGCCCCCTAGCGTATAACAGTGAGAACACGGAAACCCGGGAAATTCCGTGTTTGGCGGGGAAAGAGTTAATCCCATACATACATTACTGCTGTACTCAGATGAAAGGCTCCTCACTGTCTCGTGTTTGATTGATCAGGACGGTGGCAGCGACAAACATGAACGAGACCAGCAGCCGATCGCACGCC